TGTCTGACTCTGCTTTTTGGGCTCCTCTATTTCAAATGAGTCAGACTACACAGAGTCGTCCACAGAGAACCTCTGACACTCACATATAAGGATTATGCAAGACTCAGAGGAACTGTAAAACATTTGGTTTCACTGAAGCTTAGGCTAATTTAGAGCGGACTGACTTTGTGAAAGGTACTTTCTGCATTTATTTCATATTTAGTTTACATGTTGTGTGTATACACAGTTAAAAAATTTGGGGTCTTTAAGATTTTAAAACAGCTGTTTTCTTTTTAATTTTAAACCTTTGTTATCAATGCTGAAAACAGGTGTCCTGCTTAGTTTTTTATATAAAACAATATATAATTGATTGCTTTTAAAAAATGCCATGTTTTTTTGGACAAATTTGACATTTATTCCATTAGATAATTCTCATTTCATCTCATCCTTGAGTAATGTTGATGTTGTGAGTTTTTATGTTGGTGCAGTAGCATAACCATGGGGCCCCTTTTACATGACCCTTTTCACCCAGAGTGTATTTGGCTGTGTGTCTGCAGATAATAGGATTTGCTTTGAGGGTTGGATGGAGCCAAAGATATTCATCAGACAAGATGGCAGAGATGAGAGGAAACGAAGCAGGTTAGCCAGCTGACCGCATACACATCCATTCATCTTATTGTCATCAAATTAAATTAGCATTCAGATAAACATGGTAACAGGTAGAGCATTGAGAGTGTTCCTGTGGCTCAGTGGTAGAGCACTGCTTTAGCAGTGCAAAAGGTCGTGGGTTCAATTCCTAGGGAACACACATACTGGTAAAAATTGTATAGCCTGAATGCACTGTAAGTCGCTTTGGATAAAAGTGTCTGCATAAAAAAAAAAAAAAATTAAACACCACCAACAGCAGCTGTGTAAACGTAAAATTCACAAACTGTCCTCACAAACAACTTGCCTGCATGAAACCTCCTGTCCATTCAGTGGCTCTCTCATTTCTACACAAAGACCGTACAGAGGAGTACAGTCACAGGATCAAGTCGTTGCTGTCCAGGGTGTACTATTATCCACAGAGAGAGAGAGGAAAACTTGTCTAAGGAAGATTTAACTCTGCCCTTACTGCTAAGAAACATTCAGCATGTTTCAAAAGAAGACATAGTGGTGACACTTTACAATAAGGATAGAATAATCATGTACCAATACCTAAATTAATACTTAATTCATCATATGATTATTGAAGGCATTAACTAATCATGAACTAATGAAGAGCTATCCTTAACTATGACTGGAGTCATATGGATTCACACATGAATAACGGCAGCCTTAACTAAGTTAGTACATGTTTGATAGTTAATGCATTAATTAGACAAACAGCCTATTTAGGAAAGAATAAGAAGGACTCTGATTTTGAAATAAATTTAAATAATTTAATTCTAACATAATTTGAGGTTTTGACATCTGCAGGTTTGTTATAAACTTCACCGGGAGGCAAGGGATTAGTTTATCCTCCTCATCAAGCATAGAACATACTAAACTAATTACTGATCTTGTCTGTTTTGTGTTGTTCTCTTTAAACTCACTCTACTGCGACTTATACGCAGCTTAAGAAAAAATAAAAACACAAAACCCACTAAGAACATTTGTAGAACAATTCCTAAAGAAATGGCCAAACTAGAAACATACCGCAGGTAAGTTCAGAACATTTGCTGGGCGTCAGTACAGTTCACTCTCCATCCAGACGCAGGTCGTGATGATCCTGTACCACTGCTCTCTTGACTTCTTGAAAAGCCATACAAAATCCCTTAATTGGGCTCAATACTCGTTGTGTTAGTACACGTGTGTTTGATATTAAGTATAAAATAAATCATGAGCTGAATTTAGCAATTTAGTAAGAAGTTAACAGTGAATTAATTATGGTTTGGGCCCCCTTAAGTAAAGTCACAGCAAAATAATGTATTAACTAACCTTGAGTTGATGTTGCTATTAGTTTATGGGTAGTTAATAATAACTAATCCTTTGCCACACAGTAAAGTTTATAAAAAATCTGCAGATGTCAAAAGCCCATTATGTTAGAATTAAATTTCAAAGCCAGAGTACTTCTTCGTGAAGAGGCTGTTTGATTTAGTTTACCCATAAATGTTAATGCATTAACTATCATACATGTACTAACAAGGCTGCTGTTATTCACGCATGAATCCATATGACTCCAGTCGTAGTTAAAGACAGCTCTTCTTTAGTTCAGGATTAGTTAATGCCTTCAATAATCAGTAGTATATGATTAAGTATCAATTCAGGTATAAGTATACACGACTATTATTCATGTACCCTTATTGTAAAGGGTTACCAATATAGATAATTTGTAAATGCTTTGAAAAAATGTGAACATGCTATTTTCACTCAGTCGAACTTCATTCTTGCCCAGCCTATGGAACGACAGAAAAGATAAAGGCAAAATAAGGTCCTTGCATCCATCACTCAGTTTGACTTCTTCCTCAATGCCTGTTCTTCCTGCTGCTCATATCACTCAGTTCAGTAAGTCTGCTCCAATGCTAATGGACCCTCTTCTTGATGCAAGTGCGCTGTTGCAAGCACGGGCTAACATTATTAACAGTAAGTATAGACAGTTGTTTATTGTGAAAGAATTGCATAAAAAAAAATTTGATACATAATGTGGTTTGACAGATTTCAGTGAATAAACAAGCACAGTCAACCAAAATGTAACTGGGTCCACTAAGTTAAAGCTATTTCACACTGCACTGATTCTGACCAATGCCAACAGACATGTTTGTCAGGTTTAGTCGGATCAATGCGTTACCCCTGTCAGCGTATGTTGCTGTTGGTCACCGTTTGTTTTCTCTGACTGAACATGTTCTATCAGCATTCATCAGGTCATAGAACGCCTAAGCAGTGACAGAATCTGGTGTTGTTCATTGTTGCCCGGCGTCTGCCGGTGCAGTGTGAACAAGCCTTTAGGAAAGTAGCATGTAGTCCAGACTGGGTGTGTGAAGATGTACAAAAGTGTTTGTGGACTTATTGTCAGAATCACAGAAAAGAGCTGATATTGCTCCCCAAACAGACCAGATAACCTTAAGTGTTACCTAGTCTCAGCGGTTTCCAAGAAATCCACCATTAAATCCTCTTGCTGATGAGACTGGAAGTTTCCAAAGAACATCTACAAGTAACACAAAAATAGAAAAGGACTGTGCTTATGATGAACAAAAAGGGAAGCAGTGCCAGTGTTGATCATTTTTGTGATCCACAGATGGAGTCTGTTATTAGGATAATCTGTGATCAAGGAGACATCTACTTGTATTGTCAGAAGCTTGCACTACAGTTAAAAAATGAATGGATTAAAAGAGAATGAAGAAGCCACCATCTTAGAGAACATAATCCTGACAGAGGTACATTTACCCCAGAATCTTGCCTGTGGAGAGATTCTCACCAGATCAGCTGTAGAGATAGTCTGAGAATGAATGAAGGAACTTAGGGTATATTGTCATCAGAAGACTAAGTATTAGAGGAGACCTTCACTAATACTTTGTACAATCCATAAGAAAGAGGATTACGGGATGCTCAAGTAGTTTTCAAACAAACATATGTTGCCTATATTGTGGTTGCTGAGTCACCAAAAGTCAGGACACATTCTTAATTTACTTTATGTAACTATAGGCAACTCTACTTTTAAGTTTTAGTGTCTATGTGCAACTTTGATTGTAATGAAAGAAAAGCATTGGTGAGGAGGTTATAACATGATATAAAACCATATAATAAAAGTTTCCAATTCACTACAGGGCTTAGAGGTGCTCACACAGGAGAGGACGATAACAGACAAAAGGTAAGGAAATGCTTTTTTTTTTTTTTTTTTTTTTTACATTTCAATAAATGCAAAAAGTCTTGCCTTTAATACCCTTTTGATTGTTGTGCTGTGATTTTCAGACACTACCTACTCTATGTTCAAAGACACCCAAACATCTTGCTCCGCTGGACAATATACACCAGGATGGCTCTGCATGTTCAAATCTTGAGCACCCAACTTCTCTTAAAACAAAGTAGCATCTTGCCCATCTCATTACAGTCCAGACAAAGACTGGAAAGGATCCCCAGGCCGTCTTCCAGAAGATCCAGAGGCACCCGAGCAGGCAGTGATGAGAGCAACTCCTGCAGCAATAGTAGCCAAGAAGAGGATGAGACTGTGCCTCAAAATACATGTTTTAGAGAATTCACTCAATCTGGAACTGGGGACCTACTTGGATTTTCAGGATTTAGTCAGTTCTGTAATACACAATACTACAAACGATAATGTAATTTCAGACAAGAAAGGCTACACATCTATCAAATCATTGACTGTTAGGGAAGTCAAGGATGAAATAAGATGCAAGTCTTCCAAAACAACTGAAAACTCTCCAACTATGAACTGCTGCTCGGTCTCTGAAGGACCCAAAAACATAATCAGACAAATACCTACAGTCAGAGAATCCGGTTCTGTTGCAGGTGAGAAACACCTCACCGCTGTGGATACTGGTGTAGTAGAACAAACTTCACATGAGAAGAACAAACCAATTAAGATGATCAAGAGAAATGCCAGTAAAAGGCAAAACATCTATTCAGACAAATCAGTCATTCAATGTTCTGGCACACAGAAAATAAAGTACTGTTAAAACAACAAGGAATAGGATAAATTCACCAAATCACTCAAAGGAGCAACTCGGAGAAAGTAAACCCACTAGCATAGTTATTGCAGGAGAGACGACTAACAAATATTTGCCAAGAGCACCTATAATGGCTTGTAAAAAAAACTGCAACAAGGTTGGTCTCTGAACCTTTTCAACACATGAAGTCTAGTGATGACAAAGCAAGCAATAACAGTCAAAACCAACTTCACGGAGATCAGAGTAGTGCAAGAGCATCCAAAAAGCCAGCAACAGGACCAATACAGCGAGCAAGGTCTGCTGTGGATTATGTCACTTACAATGACATGTTTCTGAAGATCAGTCAGGGAGATGAAGGCCCAGTAATCTACGAAATGTTTGCGACTCCAATTTATGAGAATCTTAAAGCAGACAGGTCCAAACAGCACTTCAAGTTAAAAGACAGATCAATGGAAAACTAAGGGGCCAAAAAGAAAAAAAAAAAAAGGAGGTTAACCGAAGGAAACAAGCTCAATCAGAGAGATCCAGTCGAGCTAAATGCAGGCAGCTCAAGCGGAGGGATAATGTTACCAAAGGGATAAAGAAACGCCCACCTTCTCCAGAGAATAAATGCCATGTCCTTGTAACCTCTGCTTGTGGAACTGTCCAGCAGAACAAATCTGAAATGCACATCGAGGGAGATGGAAGAGAAATTTCAAGTGCAAAGACAATATACTTCCATACTATCAGTGATTGAGGAAGTACTTTCCAACACTGTATCCAAAACAAGTCTCATAAAGGAAAGAATACTTCAAGAACAAACTCCAATTGATGCAAGTGCCAAAAGTGAACCTGAAATGTGAGACCAAATTGCCATCGCAGCCCCTTATCAATACCTGGACAAGTGACGGAACGGCGCCACCTTTGTACCAGAGGTTTCTAGAGGAGGTTGGTGATGGGACCTCTCACAGATGACCTGCTGAGGTCTTTGGCAGAGGAGTTGATCTCACTCGAGAGAAGAGACGTTGAAACACTCAAGACTGAAAAGGAAGATAGCACAGAGTTCAAACATAACGTGCCTTCAAAATTTAAGAAAATTTTTTAATGAGGTAACATTCTAACATACTTCACTTGTACATAGTGTCAACCAACCCTGCTCCTGGAGAGCTACCTTCCTGCAGATTTCAGACACCAACCCTGCTTCAACACACCTCTGCAGGGTAGTAGCTCTCCAGGAGCAGGGTTGGCTACCCCTGCAGTATTATATGGGCCATCACTGTGAGTTTCTGTTGTTCATCAGGGTGTGTCCTCAGGTGAACTGCATTACTCTAATGGATCTTGCTCAGATGCTTCTATCACATGGACAAAAGGAGCGGTTCTGGGTAAAGGCGCTTATGGAACGGTAGGTATTTAAATGCAGTCATTTTAAAGCACTCTTCCTAGCTATAGTATAAACAATTATGATTTTCAAAATGTTCTCCAAGCATAATCAATTACAAAGCTATGTTTAAAATGTTTATTCATAGGTGTATTGTGGGCTAACCAGTCAAGGTCAGCTGATTGCAGTAAAACAGGTGGCACTGGATGCTTCAACTTCAGAGATGGCAGAAAAAGAGTATGAACGCTTGGAGAGAGAAGTGGATCTTCTTAAGACCCTTCATCACACTAACATTGTTGGTTTCTTGGGCACAGCTCTCTGTGAGAATACTGTAAGCATCTTCATGGATTATGTTCCAGGTGGGTCAATCTCAAATATCCTGAGCCGGTTCGGACCCTTGCCAGAAAAGGCCTTCGTTCTATACACTCGACAAATTCTGGAAGGTGTTGCCTATCTTCATGCTAACAGGGTCATCCATAGCGATCTGAAGGGGAACAACATTATGCTTATGCCCAATGGAGTGATCAAGCTAATCGACTTTGGTTGTGCTCGCCGTCTTAGCTGTGTTCAGACTTCAACTGGAAGTAAGAGTGACGTTCTGAAGTCTGTGCATGGTACCCCATACTGGATGGCACCAGAGGTCATAAGTGAGACAGGTCATGGATGAAAATCAGACATCTGGAGCATTGGCTGCACTGTGTTTGAAATGGCCACAGGAAAGCCACCCCTCACACACATGAACAAGATGGCAGCTCTTTTTTTACATTGGGGCTCAAAAGGGCTTAATTTTCTGGAAGGTGTTGCCTATCTTCATGCTAACAGGGTCATCCATAGAGATCTGAAGGGGAACAACATTATGCTTATGCCCAATGGAGTGATCAAGCTAATCGACTTTGGTTGTGCTCGCCGTCTTAGCTGTGTTCAGACTTCAACTGGAAGTAAGAGTGACGTTCTGAAGTCTGTGCATGGTACCCCATACTGGATGGCACCAGAGGTCATAAGTGAGACAGGTCATGGATGAAAATCAGACATCTGGAGCATTGGCTGCACTGTGTTTGAAATGGCCACAGGAAAGCCACCCCTCACACACATGAACAAGATGGCAGCTCTTTTTTTACATTGGGGCTCAAAAGGGCTTAATGCCATCTCTGTCTGATGACTTCTCTACAAATGCAAATGGCTTTGTCAAGGCTTGCCTAACCAGGTAATTTGCTTTTACTCAAAAATGAAATATTTGCTCTGGTTATTTTGTGCCAAGGATTTTTTTTAATCCATTGTATATTATTGTAAAATCTCCACAGATTATTATCTTAGGTGTTTTGTAACAGTGGAACAATTTTCCTCTTTGCAGAGATCCAAAGCAATGACCTTCAGCAGAGGAACTGTTAGGACATCCATTCATCTTTCATCACAGTCAAGCCTGCAATAGGCCAATGAACTGAAAACTTGATTCACCAAATTAAAAAGTAACTTTTAAAAACTATGATACAAAGCAAACTGACATAGTGACCCAACATAATTTAACAGAGAAAAATCTAATTTATAAAATAACAGTGAAGATCTATAAATAGTTATTTGACAAACGTGCCAATAAGTTCTTAACACAATAAATGATCACATAAAGACTGAGGTTAAGGTAGTGGAAACCATGGAATTTATTATTAAATCTAAATAAAACTGAGAAAAGGCAAAAAAAAAAGCCAGAGTTTGCACTTGCCTTATCCAACTGCAATTCAGTGATCCAAAGTAAAATCATGGTGTGTACAATGCTGGCCTCATTTACCAATAGCTTCACACTAAAAAGAATCAAAATCAAATGATCAAAACCATTCATCCATATTCAGAAATAATGTTGAGGGCCTGTGAAAGCCCAGATTTCTTTGGGTCAGCACTGTGATAATGAACTCAATCTCCTTTTACCCACCTATATTTCCGGTCATTTTTGACTGATTTACAGAGTTGTACAAATAGGCTACTGCTTCAAGCCAAGAAATATATAAAATGCACTTCACAGCGAAGGTTATGTAAACTTTATAGAACTATACTTTTTGAGGCACAGCCTTTGGCATCCAGCTTAAGGTCATCTTGCAGGTCAAAAAAGGTACAAAATGCATGGCCTCTGACAACATGCCAGGTAATTGGCAGGGTGTGGATTGCCTGCTAGTTCACCCTCTCCTGATAGCACTGGAAGGCTGCGCTAGAGATGCCAATGATAGATTCTAACACTGAGTCACAAAATCCCCCCTACCCCCATATATATATATATATATATATATATATACACACACACACACACAAGCAGCTCCAAACCTGAGAAGTTATGGTACAGCTTTTAACATACGAGAATGTATGTAAATTTTTCTTCACAATCTGTAAACAACTATCTCGTCCCTTTCATTATAAACATGCAGTTCATGTAGAAGGTATCAGATGAGGGGAAAGGAAACAAAGAAACATTCAAGGAACTATGGAACTTAAATCTTGATTCTGCATTCTTTCTACTAACTTTGTTTAACAAATGAGAGGAGCGTCAGTCATTTTAGAGGGTGCTTTCAGTCTTACAAATTTTCATTGTGGCAAAAACTTTCATCACTCATTATGCTTTTATCATGAAAAGTGTTTTCTTTTACTATAATGGCCCTGACATTCGTATACTGGCTCACGCATACATACAGACTGCTCGTGAAGGAATACTGAGGAAAGCAGCAGTTATACAGAGATGGCGAGACTGAACCGAACTGCCAGAAGATCGGGAAGCATTTTTATTTTCTTTCTCTTACTCTTCACATTCCTGTTTTTTTCCTCTTCCTAATAATGAAATCTATGCTTGATTTTCTCTTATATTTTATCCTCTTTCCTATCAGTTCAGGAGTCCATTCCTTGGGCACTTAATAGCGAATCAAGCATGTCAAAAGTATCTGTAGTCTGTGTGTTGGCCATTAGCTAGGCAGGAGCCCTCAGGGCCATGGCTCTCCACTGGTTTCCTGTCCAGTTTCACTAGGGTGCTGAGATGTCCGTAGCCCACCTGGTATGTGACAGGGGGAGGGGGGAAGGGAAGGTTAAGAACAGAGCTGTGAGATGACACACACTGCTGAACAGAGGAACAATGAGAGGAACTACCTGCACCGCCTTTGGAGCTTTTGTTCTTTTTAGAGTGGTGATTGTGGCTGGCATCGGGGTTCACCCTCTTACGTGAGGAACTGGAAGCAGAGCTTGTGCCATCACCACTGGAACCTACTGGGCTCCGAAGGGCCGAACCAGATGCGGGTACCTCAAGGCTGCTCCTGCCGTTGCCGCTATGCGTGTGCATGTGTGAGTGGCCGTGTTTGTGATGGTGACGATGGGCTGAGTGGTCTCTGTGTTTCTCCTTGCTCACAAGTGGGCTGGAATATTTGCTCTTCGCAGCACCCTCGTCAGAGGAGCTGTGTCGCTCAGAGGACACCTTTATTTTCATTTTTAGCTCCTCCTTACTTGATCCCTCCTTTTCGCTCTGGGAGGGGACCGGAAGACGCAGTTTTAAAGAGCTCCCTTTCTCGCGTTTGTCCTGGAGCTTGTCCTGCCCAGGGACAGGCAGCTTCATCTTCAGAGGCGAGGCAGTGGTGGTTCCTGCTCCCTGCTGCCCGTGAGACAGTTGGGGCAGGTGTTTCCGGTGATCCGTCTGTGTTGGAGCACCATAGACCTCCGTCTCCACGTTCTGCAGCTCTTGCCTGCGTTTCTGCACTGCCATCTCGCCAGCGTGTTTCTCCCTGTACTTGTCCAGAGACATCTTCTGTGTGGGTGCTGCAGGTGGTGGATAGGTCGCGGCCTGGTGCTTCGCCCCGCCACTGGCCTTATGTTCGTGTTTGGCAGGGTTTAACTCTGCACATTTGTCAGGCCGGTGTGGGTGCATAGAACTATGTGGGGGAAGTTGTTTGACAGAATACTGGTCTGAGTGTACTTGGTCCTGAGGCCAGTCACTGGGGGCGGTGTACGTGTATGAAGTTCCCTGCATGTTGGCAATGGAATCAAGAGAAAGACTGCTGCTTGAGTTGCTTGGCAGGGTCACTGGGAAAGACGTGGATGCTTTGGAGAAAGCTGTATTTGTAGAAACCCCAGGAAGGGCATCCATCAAGGACATGTCCTGGGTTAATGAAGGTCCCGCTAAAGAGCTGCTGTCTGAGGCCTGACCATCTGATTTGGGCTTCTTAGCAGCTTGCGTAGCCTAGAAATAAACAACAACAACTATGTGTTATCCAAATTAAACAATCTAAAGACACCAAATGCATGACTCATCTAGTCTAATCACTTACCCTCCAGTTACGAATCCTCTTCAACCTGCTGGGTGTCTTTTCTAATATTTGCAGAAACTCGTGGGTCAGTTCTACAACAAAATTTTAATGTATATAATTTATGGGTGACTTACACAACAAATAGGGCAAAATGAGCCAAATGATATATGGTAATTTAGGAGAATGCTCATTTACCATCAAGAAGTTCAAGTGTAACTGAGCTGTCTACATACTCCCACCAGTGCTTTCCATCGGTGGAAACAGGGATCTCCCAGTTGGACCACTTGCAGGCCAGGTGAATGCAGACGCAGGCGATAACTGTGGGCTTGTACTGCAAGCAGAAGGTGGTGAGGTGCAGACTGCAAGAGCAGCACAAGGAAGAAAAAAAGACAAAGAAAGCACAAAACGATCAGTCACTGAGCGGACAGAAGGCAGTGTTTAACATCTAGAGAATATTATTAAGGAAGCACTGAAGCCACTAAGATATTCCTCAATTGTGAGTAACACTTCCAAAACGTACCTACACAGTTCAAAAACTACTTGATTTAGCACCAT